GGGGTTAGTAATGCAGCTGATTGCGGCTGAATGAGTGCTGCAGTCGTCGTTATTATCGAGTTTTCTTACCAGTCACAGTTATAGGACCACAAGTAGGTTCCTCTGAAAAGCAACAATAAGTACGTCTCGTGACGGACGAGATTTACTGCTTTGGGGAGAATACGTTTTTGTTAAAGACAAAAATCGGGGGGAGGGTGAGGTATTACGATACGCCGATCCCAACTTCATTGGTGGAATGGCAGGTAGACTCTGAAAAAAAAACATTTCAGTAGTTAATCGGTACGTGGTAACACGAGATCTACAGTTCGCAACGGACCCTGCGGACTCCCGTAACAGATGTCAAGTGTCAATTTGAAGCTTTAGGAAGGTCCCAAAAAGTATTTCCATGATACCTGCAGTCGGTTGCACATGTTCAATAAAGATGTAGGCTTCTCTCTGCACCGCTCGATTACTCCCATAGTCATTCTCTATAACCAATTACGGGAAGTCGGCGATTTGCCAGCAATAATGGTCGTGCATTGTCGTCCCTCACTGCAAAAATTGCCCACCAAAAACTTTCATAAGTGTTTGATATTCTGTACGGCGTCCGATAAGGCGGCATCCTCAAACCACTCTCCCTTAATTGCTTCCTTAAAAATATCCTCGAAAGGATATGGCGCAGTTTTGACAACATCAAGTTCGCCACTCTGCGCCTCTGCGCGCCAACCAATCGGCATCGAATGTGCCGGCCAGTTTAGCTCTGCTCTAACGTGATGTTCTGAGTTGCTACGGAATGCAGTCTATTCGGCTATTCGGTTAGACATAACACCACACAGGCCTATTTTGGTATCTCAGGCGAGAAGAGGACACTCCTTGGCAGTCAACTGGGATTATTAAAGAGCCGCAATTAACTTGCGCCGAAACTGCTGTTGTCAAAGGGACAGAGAAAGGACGGTATCCTCGCCCGAATAGATGCTGTTCGTAGTTTTTTTTTCAAGTCATTGAAACTGTCAGTGACTGCATTATCCACTGTCACCATGAACGACGCGTACAGGGCGCCAATGCTGTCAACGGCCTGAGGAGTTCTGGGCTGTCTTCGAGTGAAGTACACGCGGATGCATCGCTTGATGAGACAGTACGCACTTGTGGCGATGGAGATCTGGCACGTTCCTCGTTGTCCGGCTTATAATCTCAGCGCTGCAGTGCTTCAGCCGTGGAACTTGCCTAATAAGAGGCAGCGAGAAGTTAGCTTAACATTTTGGCTCGGTATTTGCAAGTAGGTCTAACGGAGGGAAAACCATATTGAACAGCATAAGTCTACAGTGAGACATCAGTAAGCACAGACAAGGACACTGCATGCGACACTAATGAGGTTGGCTAGAAAGCCATATAGAGACCTTTTACGCGCACATACAAGAGGTAGTCTGTTGATTGATTCCAAGGGCTAGAGTGGCGAGGTTGGACCCGGCGACCCCTTAAACGGTTACCTTATTGGCCGCTTTGGTGCGACAATGGTGAAAGAATGCCCAAATTTGATGGACAGAACCAACTGTTTTATCACCAAAGCGTGCTTCCAGCATCGCCACAGACATGTGCTCACGTGATCTTCGCATGCGGTTATAC